CCGGACGGGAGGCGAGGCGGCGGGATTCGCACGCCGGAAGGAAGTCCCAGGGGGCTTGACGGGGGGCCCCGAGTCCAGCCCGAGATCGCCCCGGGTGGGCAGTCCTCTCCGCCCATCGGCATCTGGGGCGCCACAGGGCGGCGGGGCAGGACCAAGCAGGGGGACAAAAAAGAGGACAGCGCGGGGCCAGACACCGGGGCTGGGCCGCGGTGCATGCAGGCCAGAGGACCCCCCCCTGGGCGGGGGAACGGGGAAAGGGCAGTGGCGCCATGAGGCGGTGTGCCAAATTCATGGGCGCTGCCGGAAATCTGATCGCCGGGGACCGCCGCTGTGGCGCTACGGGAGTGTGCACACGTGCATTCCGCATGGTATCACGTTACAGATCAGCGGCTCGACACACGCCCGAGCGCATCGTTGCCTGAGCACACAGGGGGGGGGGGGGATAAGACCCGCTGCGTCCCCCCCCCCCCTCGCCGGCGGCGTGCTAGCCAGCCAGGGTGGTGGCGGCCTGGCGGCCTCCCGCCGGTGAGTGCGTCCGGATTTCCGGAATAAACAACCGCCCGGGGCGGGAAGTGGCCGGGGGTCCCGGTCTTCTCGGGCGGGGGCCGGGGGGGGGGGGGAAATTCACGGGCTTGAGCCTGGGCAAAGGACGCGGGGCGCCCGGGCTGACACGGGCGGTGGCCCGGCCGCCGGGGGCGCGCCAGGGCATCACTTCCTCCCACTCTCCCCCCGGGGGACCGACCAACTCCAGGGCCGAAATACCGCCACACCCGCAAGGCGTTAAAATCCTCATGTGCGTGGGGGGGGGGGGGGGGCCTGATCCACAATTATGAAGCCCCCCATCCCCTGCGCGGCTGTGCCCTGTCCCCTGCCGGGGAACTGCGCGAGGGGGTGGGCTGGGGCGTGAAAGGATGGACCAGCCAGACCGGTGTGCTCCCTGTGCTGGCTCTGGCGGGGAGGGCCGGGGCGCCCATCTGTCCCGAGTGCGCGGATGCGCTCGTTGACAGGGCCATTTTTCCTTCCGCCTCTTTGCCCACGTTGGGGGTCATGCCCGATGTGTTGGGCGCGGGAGGGGGGGGGGGAGGGGGGGGCGCCGGGGGGGCGGGTGCCGAGTGGGCACAGCCTCAGGCAGGGGCCAGGGGGGGGGGGGGGGGGGGGCCAGGGCCATTTGGCGGCCCACCGCGCGGCCCGGCCGACCCCCGGGAAGCGCTCACCCACACACCCCACAGGCGCGCCCCCACACTCGCCTCTCCCCTCCCCCCTTCTCCCCTCCCCCTCCTCAATCGACACAAGCAGCATGGACTCCATCCACAAGGGCTGGTTCAGCGAGCGCGGCGAGCTTTGGCCCGGTCAGGTGCGCATCCATGGCCCGGCATCCGCCCACCCATTTTCTCCCGCCCCCCTCCGCACATACCTAACACCATGCCTCCCCTTGCCGTGACCGCGTCGGGCCGCGCAGGCCCTCTCCCTCGAGATCGAGGAGGTCCTGCACGATGTCAAGAGCAAGTACCAGCACATCACCATCTACCAGACCAAGACCTGGGGTCGCATGATGACCATCGATGGCAACATCCAGGTATGTCCCTGTCGCCGGTTGACCCCCCCCCGCCCTGTCTCCCCTTGCCGCTGTTGTTTCCCCCCCCCCCCCCCCTCGCACCCCTCGCAGCCCAACACACGCACGCGCGCGCATTGACCCTCGAAATAGGTGACCGAGCGTGACGAGTTCTCCTACCAGGAGATGATGGCCCATGTGCCGATGTTCCTGCACCCCTCGCCCAAGCGCGTGCTGGTCATCGGCGGCGGCGATGGCGGCGTCCTGCGAGAGATCGTCAAGCACCCGGAGGTGGAGCAGGTGACCATCTGCGAGATTGACGACGTGGTGATCGACACCTGCAAGCGCTTCCTGCCCTCGCTGGCGTGCGGCTTTGACCACCCGAAGGTCCGCGTGGAGATCGGCGATGGGTTCCAGTTCCTGCGCAACCACCCGAACTCCTTCGACGTCATTGTCACCGATGCCCCGGACCCCATCGGCCCCGGGGTGTCGCTCTTCCAGCGGGACTTCTTCGCCCTGATCCACTCGGCCCTGCGTGAGGGCGGTGTCGTGTGCCAGCAGGCCGAGAGCATTTGGCTGGACCTGCCCCTGATCCGGGACATCGTCGGCTACTGCGCGGCCCTCTTCCCGGCCGTCAACTACGGCATTGTCCAGATCCCCACCTACCCGTGCGGGTCCATCGGCCTGCTGGTGTGCTCCAAGACCCCGGGGGCCGATGTGACGGTGGCCGCCCGCGCGCCGACCCCCGAGCAGCAGGCCCTCCTGCGCTACTACAACCACCCGGTCCACGCCGGTGCCTTTGCCATTCCGCAGTTTGCTCGCGTCGCTGTCGACGAGGCCATCGCCCATGGTCGCTCGGTCGGCACCGATGGCATCAAGGTGGCCGAGGAGAAGTCCTCCTGAGACGTGTCCCATCCGCCCGCCCCATTTGTCCCCCTTGGGGGGGGGCCTGCAGCCGCGCGGTGCCCATGATAAACCTCCTGTCTCTCTTGATTCGCGCGTTGATGGGCTTTTGGCTTGTCCGTATGCACTCTGGGGCGCTGCATCGCCGGAGGGCCGGGAGAGGAGAGGAACACAGACGGAAGCCAAGCGCGCTGGGGTATGCACTGGCATCCGCGTGCCAAGAGCCTAATGGCCATGGGGGGAAGGAGCGGGAGGGGGGGGGGGACAAGAACGCCTCCGGCGTAGCCCTTGGGGATGTTTGTCTCCACCCGCGGGCGAGACGCCCCCGCCCGCCGATTGGGGAAGGTGTTGGTTCGGATCCTGCGGGCCTTGGGTTGGCAGGATGATATTTAAGCCCATGAGTAGTGGTCCCTCCTAACCAACCATAGCTCAATTGGTAGAGCATCAGACTGTAGCGGTAACAAGCAATTATCTGAGGGTCGCTGGTTCGATTCCGGCTGGTTGGACTTCTTTTTGAACACCCCGCCGCTCACTTTTTCCGGGATGCCTGGGCCGCCTTTCCTTCTTTTTTTTTCCGCCCCTGTTCACCCGCTGCTTCCATTGCTTCGGAGGCGAGGCTTGTCGCCGGAGAATGGGAACCCGAGCACACACGCGTACCCACGCATGCACGCATGCACGCGTACACATACACGCCTGCACATGCACGCGCGCACGATACACTCGGTGAGGGAAGCAACGTCGCCAAGGCCCCACCTCTCGCGCTAGGCGCCTTCCCAGCACCACAGACCCGGTCACTGAAGCAAGGATACACACAGCAAGAGAGGGAGAGAGAGAGAGAGAGAGAGACCCACGTAGAAAGAGGGAGGTAGGACAAAAGGCATGCGTGTATATGTGTATATGTATGAATGCATCTACGCATGAACAGAAGGGGGTGGGAGAGAGGGAGAGGGGATAAGGGACACCCACATGCATGCACAAGAGAGGAAAGACGAGGAGTAGGAAGCGGAGGAGCATGAGGCGCGATGTCAACGTGTGGGGCAAATCACGGGGAAGGAAACAAGACAGGAAGGATGAACTGGGACCGGGAAGAGGAGAGGGAGCCGGCGCAGGAGGGGACAGGAGACTACCGAGGCTTGAGATGATGACAATGCCTCCTGACAGGCACACGGGGCCACACCTTGGCCCTGGCTTCGCCCCTCCCTCGGGCCCATTTTCTCGGCCTCCTGGGGTGCGCCTTTCTTAGCAGCCCCCTTCCTGTCCCAGAGTATGGGGGGGGGGGGAATGGGGGCTGCACGCGCATGCACATGCGCGCATGTCTGCGCCACATGCCGCCCAAGCGTCGCTACCCGCCCCCGCGCCATCGTGCCCTCTTGTGTACAACATACGGGGGGGGGGGG